CTGTGTTCTACACTCTGTTGCTCCTGTTTTGGGTCCTTATCATTCAGCTGCTTCTACCGAGAGTCTGTCATTTTGCAGGCATACTGCAACTACCATCTCTTGGACTCCAGCTGGCAAGAGTGATTTTTGTTCTGTTTGCAGGAAGATTTAACATGAGCTGCGAAGCCGTCGACAACCAGAAACAGTAGCAGCTGAAAAACTAGTTCAAGTGCTGCTACATCAAGCTCACAAAGGCTGCAGAGCAATAGCAGAGACAGAGCGAGACAGTACTGTTCCAGTCCTCCTGCGGGATACTGGGGGATCAGATTCTCAAAGTAAAATAATTTTTGTGTCTTTCATCCTTTGATGAGTTGCTAAAGAAAATCTGATATTGTGATCTGACGTTTTTCAAGACTCACTTTTTTGCCTTTTTCTATGAGCCACCACTGGAAGCAAAAATGTCTCTCAAACATTAGATTCTCTGTGTCTACAGTTTCAGCAGCAATATTAAGTGTTATGTATCTGTAACCTGTTGTGATGTCTACGATTCAAGATGTAACTCACAAGATGGACAGATCAGGCAGCAGCAATCCTGTTCCAGTGGTGTCTGGTGTCATTTCTGATTTCTTTACCCATTTGGAATCAATTTGGCGAACACTCCGTAGGACCACCCAACCAGATGTTTTTGGAAAATGATATTTTTCATGCTTTTGTAGCTCTAATTTTCTTCATCTCTTTGATAACCCCTCAACCCGTGCGCGTTCAGCAAAAGGGTGTGTCTTAGCATTTGATCTTTAATGTGTTTGTTTTAACAGCAGGCCATGACAGAAAACTGTCATGGCAGGGCAGAGTCTGTGGAGATTAGTTACATTTTACAAATTCAGCCATTTCCTTCTTGTTAAAATGTGTTTTAAAGATATAACTTTAAGTTTTACTTCACGCACTAAGTACTTAAACCGAAACATTCGGCTTTTTTCGTTTATCAAATCATTTCACCTTTCATAGAAAAGGTTTCCCCAGGTCATGCCCACTGATGAGGAGTAGGTCACTTTGAACATGAGAAGAATTCCTTTTGCTTTTATTTGGTTGCCTGTGATTGCGATGACTGAGAGGCAAAGAGAATGGAATGGCACACTTTTGTTGAATGAATCATTTCTGACATTTTGTAGAAATAACTGGCTTTCTTTTTGCAGTTTGGTCCAGAAAAGGAAAATTGCTGAATCTTCATAAGCACTCAAGGACATACGTACCCTGGAGTCTTGCCTGGGTGGGTCGGTCTGTTAGCAGTTAGCAGTGTCCCCAGGCAGCCTTTAGCTCCAAGGGCAGTTTCTACTGCAACATCATTTCAGCGAGTAAGGAAGGACCTGCTCCCAGATGCTTGAGTTAATGAATAATGACACTGTATCACAGTTTTTCTCTGCCTTTTTGATAATGAGGAACAGAAGAGCTGAACTTCCCTGAGGCACCACACCTGTACTGGACTGTATTCCTGTCTGCCCCAACCTTAATGCTTCTCAGGAGATAGGCAGAGTCAGACCTTGGACTTAGGCCAGCTTCTCAGTCTCAGTTACATGCAGTCACACTCAGTTTGGTCTTATTGTGAAATTATAAACCATCTTATAAAACCAGTAAACCGTGTTTGAGCGCATCACACCCTGTAACCAACTAAACTATTATTTAATTGTGTGCTTCTTTTTTTTCTCAGGCATCTTTAGCTTTAAATATATACTGTCTGCCTCCCTTCTTCTACACCTTCATTGTTCTGTTTCTCTGTACTTCTCACTTTTTTCCCTACAGAGACACTTTGCCAAGTGGAGTCAATTAAAACTGTACATCTAAGTGAGAAATATCTGAGTGTGTATCTGTGTGTGGTTTCATAACTGGGCTGTGCACGTCTTTGTGTGAATGTGTGAATTTGTGGTATTTTCAAATCTGTGCGCAAACATTTTGTGTGTGCGTGCGTGTGTTTGTGTGTGTGTGTGTGTGTGTGTGTGTGTGTAGAGGCGGAGGCTCCCCTGGGGCCTGGCAGTATGGCGCTGTAGCACTGCACACTCCTCTTGCGAAAACTCCTCCAATGGGACCAGGACAGCTGTGGCCAACCTATACTGATTTGTGTGCCATAACAAGACTTATGTGACACCACACACACACACACACACACCTATTACTCCAACCGTGGCAACTCTATCTGGCTCTGTGATAGCCTCCATCTTTTTTGTTTTTGTCAAGAACTTATCTGTCACTCACAATAACGATCCAGACCTCCATTTATTTCTCATGCATGCTCCATGTAGAAGATGCCTCTCTTCAAATGTTGTATGCCGCTGTATACTTTGTTTCTTCATACTTACACAGAACCACAATACCCCACCTGATATTACTGGAAACAGACATTGCCATTGTTGTCTCAGAAGAGTTGTCTTTTAAATTAAACAAACATAAATTATTAATTGTACAGTATCTCATATACATTCATCCTGTCAGTAACTGTACACAAGCACAAGATAGAAATAGCACACAACTAATAGAAATATGCTCAGAAAAATCCCTGAATGGTAAAGTAAAAGGTCACTTTGCTGTGATTTCCTGGAAAAAAAGAATTAAAAAAACTTCATGGTCATGCAGAAGGACACTTCATTCTTTAAATTTCATTTATTTAACAGTCACCAGATGATGATACATTCTCTTAAAAAAGAAATAGACAACAAAACTGATAATCCTTTTGAGATTTTTAAAAACTATTGTACATTTTTAATATATAGATTTTGTACAAAATAAAAGTCAGTAAAACGGGTAAGGGGAGAGGACATTTAAAAAAAACTGAAAAAACAGAGGCAGGAGCTGACTCAAACAACTATCACAAATAGGAATGACAAAGACCAGTCTCTTTCATAAATAAATATAGGAAAATTAGACATCATATATAGCTTTCTTTCCAATAGCAGGGGATTGCTAAATGTTTGTAGCATAGAATATAACATAACTGCTCTGTGAGGCCTGTATGCTTATAAAATTCCACACATTTTCCACACTGAGATTATCTGGAACCAGCGCAGCTAAAGGCCCTGAAATAAAGGTATTTACCTCAATAATGGGTCTGATAGTCTGTGCCGTGCTTGACCTTTGGCAGCAAGAATAACCCCCACTCCACTCTCATCCCTTTTCAGTCTTTCTTTTGTATGTTATAGAGAGCGTAGTCTCCTTGAGGGAACTACAGAATGGGGTGTTCTCTTTTTTTTTTCTTTCTCTCAAGGCCAGCAAGAGACAAGCTGCAAACTCCCCCAATCACAAACACAGAAACAACTGAGCAGAGCACATATGGGAGGTGGGTGCACAGTATTGGAGCTTAGGAAGGAAGGTCATACTTCACTACACCAGCATTGTTTCACCAATTCAATCCGTACACTATGGATATTTCAACTGTCCTCGTTTGTCCTTAGAATTTCAACAGTACAACAACTACAAGACAACAGAACAAACACACAAAAATTAGGTGTGGATGGCTGTCTGTTAATTTAACCTTCTTTGATGGAGACTCCTACCATTCAGACTACTCTCCTTAAATCTCTCAATTTGCACCTGTTTGAGAATTTGAAGCTCTGGATATAAAGACTGGAAACATGGAAACATAACACAGATAATGAAGATGATTTACTACATGAATGCACTACCTGTTTTCAGATACACAAATCCAGAGCATCAAAACCAAAGCTGATGACTGACCCAAATGCAGCAACAAGTTTTTGTTCCATTTTTGTCTCCATCTTTTCCTTTCTTGTTTAAACCTCTTTGAGCTGGCAAACTGGAGGTGACATTGGCCCTTCTCAGAGCAGGACGGCAGGCAAAGTGACTTGGCGTTAATCACCATTTTGTCTCACTGCATTTGGCGTATTATGTTGGAGAAGCGAGCTGTGGCCCGGACAGCAGGGGTGAGACAAGGGAGGACAACACGTTAGATTCTTAATAATGACACATCGCTGCTGCATCACTTTGGAGATTAAAAGCAAGATGCTGAATTTCAATCAAGCCACATTAATGGCTTGGAGTGAAAAATGGTCACTTTGTCTCCACTGACAGACACAGAGCAAAAGAGACAAACTGGTATGAAAAGCCCAGATGAGACGAGGTGATATGACATTTTAATTCACCAAATTGCATGCTAGCAACTAATGATAACATCCATTTAATGACGTGACCATATTCTCTGACAAAAGGCAATGGGGAATTAATAATCTTACATATGAGAGAAAAGTCATCGCGCTAAGGACTAAATGTAGGAGGCTATAATTAAGGATGCTGAAAGATAGTTAATTGTAATTAATGAATATGCAAATGTATTAATTCATTTATTTGGTAAAGTGAGATCTACGGGGACATCTGGAGTCCAATTTGAAAAAAGTGGTGAAAAACTTGTGTCAAATAAAAGTTATGATTTTCCCTCATATTTTGAATTTTGTGGGAATTCATTAAGATGAGGAATAGGCTACCCTACACTGGTAACAATGTTTTGCAAAAAGAAAAAAAGAAACTCCTCTCCATCACCAAAACTGACTTAAAAGGAATCAAATTTTGATCAAATCCAAGATCTGACATTGTTTTTTGAGTAGCTTATGATTTCCTCATTTGTTCCTGTCAAATGCTGCATCCACCTTACAAAACATGCCAAGTTCTGCCTGAGCTGCTCTGTGAAGGCATTGCACCGGGAAATGTGACCCACTTGTAATAAAGTGCATTCAGAGTTCAGTTCTCATGGTAGATGAGAAGCGATGTCGGGCAAGGACAGCTGAGAGATTGTCATCACAGTACAGCTGATATGAGAAAAAACTTAATCTGACATGAACTAGATCTCTCGTAAAGAGGGGGATCAACGGGAAGGGTGACAGAGGAATTGTCAAGACAACAAAGAGACATGGGTGTCTTGGTCCTACAGCCTTTATGTCAAGTCAGGAATGTCACAGTTGAGCACAGTGCTTCATGGGTAGGGAAGTCCTGTCTGAGGGTAAGGTGTGCCATTCTTGAATTTAGCCAGGCACCCAGCTCTGGTTGCTATGGGTTTGCTGTGGACCAGGAAGACTGTTCATTCCCATTCCCATTCCCATAGTCACACCCATACCCATACCCATGCCGATGCCAACCCCCTGGGCAAGGGAGGAGTCAAAGTTGAAGTCCATTTCTTCCCCAGAGTCCATAATGTCATGGAGGAGGATGGATTCCACATCACAGTCCAAGCTACCATGGAACATGTCAATGTCCAGGTCAGCTGGTAGCCTCTCATGGGTGTGAGGTTGGTGGTAACCATGATAGTTGCTTCCAGCACTACAATTACCCATCCCAAGGCCATGATGGTATGGTCCATTAGCCATGCCCTGGTGCTGTGAGTCTGGGTAATAGCTGTGACGGGGGTGTGGCGTGGTGGCCACATGGCAGGAGTCCTGGGGCATACCGAGCATACCTGCTGGGTTTGGGGGAAGGGTGGTAGAAGCAGGGAGATGGGCATGTGATGGGGGGCTGTACAAGTAGGGAGTTTTGTGATTATAGGCCTGTAACTGATTGTTGTTTCCACGGGGGGTTAGGACTGCAGCCCGTGGTGATGTATGGTTATGGCTCCGGCTGAGACTATGACCGTTGTGAGGGAGGCTGTGAGGTGAGTTGTGGTTTGATACATTGTTGTGATTATGACTAGGCGTATGACTGTGAGTTCTGTTATGGCTAAGAGGTCCATTATGGCTGTGGCCATTGTGATGCACAGGATGGTGGTTGTGATGGCTGGATCCTACACCATTACTAGCTTGACCCATCATAGGATGGCCTTCCCTCTCCTGTCCAAGCATCAAGTCCTTAGAACAGTATTGTTGGCCAGCCGAACCACCTGTTAGAAGACTCTGTAGTGCATTTGTACTGGAATATGCTCGCATGGTTCCAGAAAAACTGGTTGGCTTGTTCTCCTGAATGGTTTGCATGGGCGAGTGGTGACGCAGCATGCCCATGCTTGATGAACCATAGACTCCTGAACTGTAGGAGCCCTGAACCTTTATTCCAGAACTATAGTGATACACAGGAGTTTGGTGCTTATGTCTCCCAACAGCTGGATGCTGCTGGTGCTGCTGTGGACAATGATGATGATAACCATCCTCGATCATCTGCTCATCTAAAGTGATGGCACCTGTTAAGTTAGCAAGCTGAGGGAGCTGCTCAAGGGGAGGGCAGTGATTCCCTGCACCCATCGATGGAGAGCGGGCACTAGTCGGTGAGGGGTAGAGATGAGGGGAGGTTGAACAGGACAGGCCACTCTCCTCTGGTTCCTCTGGTTCTTCCTCTGCAAGAATGGGTGTAAGACGCCCACTGAGGGTGGAAGTTGATGAACTTGCCCTGGAATGTAGGTCTGTCCAAGAATCAAACTCTCCATCATTTCCAGATGCACCTCCAGCTCCTGACAGACCTTTCTGCGATGGGCTACCATGGTCTGGAGAGCTCTGGAGCCCCACCACAGCAGACCCTGCTCCAATGCCAGGACGGCCCACTCTTTTGCCTCTGATGCGGCCTTTGCTTTTTAGGTACTTGGTGCTGTTGTCCATGGAGACTGCTCGTCGCCGTGGAGCTTTGCCCATCTTCCCTCCATCGGGGTTCAGCATCCACCAGGAACTCTTCCCTGTCCCCTCATTTTGTACCCGGATGAAGCGTGTGTGGAGGGAAAGGTTGTGTCGAATAGAATTCTGTAGAGAGAAAATGGGAAAGATATTGGGTCAACTTGCAACATATGAATCCATTGCTAATTGTGTACAAACTGTTTCTCGCTGTTGAACACAAATAAAAAATATATGCGTGAAAGACAGATCAGCAGAAGTTTTTAAATAACCATAGTTGCAAATACATCTTCTAAACATTATATATGTACATGTCATAAAGTTATTCCAAACAATCAGATTGCTTCCCTATTATGATTTAAAAAAGAATTAAAAATTGCAGTTTTAGGTACTAAACCCTTTGTGCAGTAAGTCACACATCGAGAATCTGTTTAAAAGCATAAACAAGTTCAGACGACAGCAATAGCTGATATGATGCGAGACCCTGTCAGCCTCATTCAACCTAAAATGACCTCAGACTCATTCTTAAGAGATTTCCCTCTGCACATCAGTCCTCCCACTTTCATTTCCATCAATCCACCTAACCTCTTCTACTTCTACTGTTAGCTGGGCTGATGTAAGCCTGAGAGGTTGAGTATACTGAATGTTTGAAGTTGGTGCCAGTCTGGCTTAACGCCAGGCATGTCTCTTTCACTCTCATTGCTTGAATGGGAAAACAAGATTGAGCCAGGAGCAAGGGAGGCTAATGGATGTATCCCACCCTTTAACATCTACCTTCACTGCATATCTCCTTTTCCCTCCCTTGTTCTGTCTTTATCACAATCCCTTTTGTCACTGAGAGCTTCATATTTCAACTTGTCTAGATTTTCTTTTCTCTTATTTTACACACTTCTTTGAACGCAAGTCATTTTCCACTTCTGTGTGCAATCTCTTTGCCTTCAATTATAAAGTGTGTCACCAATTACTTTCCCATTATCCTCTACGTCTGCCAGTACAGTCTCTGGCTCAGTAATTCATAGGATCAAGTTGGTTTTTTTATCATTCTTTTATGATTTACATCTCAACAGTTGCTAAATGCTGCTGCAATTCTGCTCTGTTGCACATGAGGCATTTTGGCACTCTCGCTGAAAAAAAAAATCAAATCAGAAACATCTCCTGTGGTTTGAGAATATACAAGTATAACAGATTGTTTCAGATTGAAGGGTTCTCACACTTCCACCATTTCCACTATGCCGCGGATTATTTGTATTCACATTGAACTGCATGGCAGGGAAACAAATAAATCAAATTGTGGGGAAGAAAACACATAAACGGGAGGCGAGCTGTATTCAGGTGATCTGTGAATGCCTCCTTGGGTTATCTTGTTGTCACACCTCCGACATTGTGCAACCATGGCAACCGGGTAAACGTGCAACGGCAGAACTGTATCATATTGTGGCGAGTCAAGAGAGTCAGAGATAGAAATGGAGGGAGGGTGGGGGATGGGGGAAAGGATGCAAAAGGAGGCGGCTGTTTGATGCTGCTACTCCAACACTAAGCAGCCTTTCATCTTGCCAGTGCAGGTCCGCAGGGGATGCCCGCTCCCTGCTTCTGACGGCTTCTCTACGTGCCGCGCCAACTCTCTGTCTCACTCTGGTTGGATCATCCACCTACCGTACCACTCAAAATCATCCCCTATCAAGTCCTGTGCATGCCTGAATTAAAACATATGTAAGCTTTCAGGCCGTTCCACCACAGCTGGTTGTAAATGGGACATCTTTTAGAGGGCTGAAGCACTTCACACTGCCACTCTGTGTGACCTGTCTGATTCAAATCTCAATTTATCCCCCATATGAGGGAAGAGCAGCCCCATTGAACTTGGAGGGATTTGTCATCATCCCAAACCCTCTTTATCTGATGAATCCACCTGCTAGAGAGATTTGAGAGATTTCAGTTGGTGGCTAGCCATGGCATCATCACCATCATCATCACCAGCCGCTGGTTTTCTGACCGATGGTTTCCAACATATGTTTTTCCCTCTCATCCTGTTTATGAGAGCATGTGTTTTAACATCTACAAATAGCTGAGGTTGCGGGTGGTTCCACCGTGGCTGTGGTTCTGTCGGTCCCCCGTTCTCTGAGTCAGGGGCAATTTGGCCAGCCTATGGCCCTGACGCCCCTGAAACAGGCAGTCACTGCTAATCCCCCTCCATCCCAGAGTAATCCCAGACAATCCTGGGCTAATCCCAAGTTGATTCAGGGGCACTCCCAGCTGGGTGTCTCACATAGAGCTATGCCAGGTCACCGTAGACACAGTGGCCGGCACGGATATGCTATGATCCTAAAATAAAGCGGAATAAGGACTGTCTGTGAGGTGGGAAAAAAAATTACAAAATTAAACTCTCATAGGATGTAGAAGCAAAGTGGTCAGATTGTATTTGTGTGTTCATTATATTAGATGACAAGGCCGTAAAATGATGTCAGCCATATTTTTGATGCCTCCATCAAATCGACCACCTTTATTCTGTTGCCCTGTCCTTGAGGGTTGGCTTTGCCACATTTTTACCCCTACAGCTTGAACAGAATAGAATTGAAAACTTTATTATGTATTAAATATTCATAAAATGGAAATTCTCTCTCACCCCCCTGGCTTTCTGAGCCAGACGGATGAAGCCCACAGAAACATACAATGACAGAGGAACACACACATCACACGCTAGGGTCCAGGAAGCTACTTCCTATTCAAATCATACCCCTTTTAATACAATGGGCCTGGTGGAGAGAGCTCTAAATAATGAATGAACCAGTGGCTAAGCTTATGCAAAAGGATCCACTGCCTGGTCCCGTAATACTGGAAAGAACAGATGGAGTCATAAGTATTACTGTGGACTTTTTTTCTCTTTGTTTTTGTAATATTGTTCTGCTTTTCTCTTTTTTTAATTATGAATATCCACCCTTATGAGTCTTCAAAGACAACTAAGTTAATTAATCCAACAAGCACAAAAGGTTAGGTGTAAAAGCTTCCTGACCATCCATCCATCCATTTTCTACACTGATTCTCCCCAACGGGGTTGCAGGGGGCTGGAGCATCTCCCAGCTGACATCGGGTGAGAGGCAGAATGCACCCTGGACAGGTGCTTACTGACCAATCAAAGCCAATTAAGGTAAACAAGGCTTTCTAGGATGTTGTGGAATCAGCTTGGGTTCAGCTCTCATTAAGAACTTAAAATCCTGATTACTGATTTAGATATTTAGACAATGGATACCAAAGCAGAGGGTGGAATTCTTTGTCCTCAGATTAAAAGCTTAGACTCTTTAAAAACAAATCTGACATGCTAACACTTTTCCAAAACACACAGGTGGAGTTTTTTATGGCCCACAGGAGTGAAACTAAGTTCAAACTAAAAGAAACACAGATATGCACAAACCTATAGCATAATGGATTACATCTGAAGACTGGTTGAGGAGAAGAGGCACATCACTGGCATTCATCCTTAATAACATCTATAAGATTCATTCATTTGGCTCTTGCAAATCATGCGATTCCAATCAACTGCTTTATTGTTCTCCCTCAGTTCTTCCACATGAAAACTCAGTTTAAGACGGGCACTGGATAGACCTCTTTAGCACTGAGAATCAATGAGGCTTAATGGCTATCAGTGCTGTGGTTTAGTATGCATATTGCACCTGCATCTTGAGGCTTCTATGGATGCTCAGTAAACAAAGTGTTGACTGTTCTCACAACAATGCCTAACTGCCCATTCTGTGTAAAGTTACTGTACTCTCCTGTGTACCTATGATGCATACCTAGATTTAGGAGTAGATGCTGAGGAATCAGGATAGAATTTGTTACTTTGCACCTAGTGATGCATCTGTAGTAACCTGATTAACTGGCATTGGTTCAGCTGTGGTGGAGGCCCTGAGTGTAAGGGGTGGGAATAATAGGGTACCACAAGGGGCCCCTCCAAGCCACACAAAGGAGCCCCCCCCCAAAACCCCACCCCCCTCACTCAACCTTCCCCCTTCATTAGGCCCCCATCAGAATCCACTTCGGGTTTTTCTGCTCACACACAGAAGGGCTCGGAAACAGGTCAAATGGTTTATAAGACCCAACTTGTGGCAAATGTGCACTCATTCAAACAGAACTTAGTGAGAAACTCAGGGCTGTGAATAGGGTCTGGGAACCGGCAAAAAGAAACCACTCACCCGATTCAAACAACCTCAAGGGTGAAGCAGTGTGGTGTGCTTGCCCAGCTAAGAACACAGCAGCTGTTCTTGTAGTGGCACTGGGTAAAGCCGTTTGCCACACTCGACTGGTATTACCAAACCATTTCATGCAGAATGGATCCATTATGTATTGTCAAAGGGTATCCCTCCATGGTGCACATTCATTTGATAAGCCTAAATCAACGGGGAGTAACAGAAGCACTAACTGTGTTTATTGTGATGCCGTTTCTGCCTGTGCAGAAGGCAGGAGGGATCAGGGGGAGGGGAGGTTTCAACACAAGCAGTTTTGTTCAGCACAGGAATGAGTTTTGTCAGCTAAGCCTGTCTCCAGGCTATTGGCGGAAATTAGCGCCAGCTAAATATTCGCTTTCCATGATTGATGTTACGGCTGGCGTTGTCCCTTTGAAGGGAAATAAAGAATTTAGAGCTATGTGGATTAATAGGGACAGAGTCGGGGGAATTTTATTCGTCTGAGGGGAGACTTGAAGTGCTGCTGAAGGGCCTAATGGTGGCACAGATATGGCACTGATGATATAATGTGTCAGGGAGAAAAGACAAGTGAGAGTTTGACAGTGAGTACAAAAAAGAAAATTGGAAATTGTTTGTTTGTGTGTGTGTGAGAGAGAGAGGGAGTTTAAAAGAAAGAGAGAGAGATGTAGATATTTGCCAGAGAAGCCCAGAGTTAGATGATTAAAATCCCTTTAGGTGGCTTCTTTAAGAGAGACAGATGGGCAGACAGGCCTGTTTTGGAATGCAATCAAATTGAAAAGATTAAAAAGGAGTCTCTTTTATTAGGAGGTGAGAAACAGTTACTTCTCTGCCACATGCCATCATCGCCTCCACAGCAGTGGTCACGACAGCATTGGCATGCAAGGCACATTGTAGTTCTCGTTGGAAAAGAAATAAACCGGGGATTAAGAATTG